AAAGAGAGTAAGAGAGAGAGAGAGGGAGTAGTGGGCACGTCGTCTGCTGTAACCAAATATAAAATCAGGTTAGAGTGTCAATGAAAATTACAAAGACAAAAAGAAAAGAGTTGCAAAAGAAAGAAAGAAACAAACAAAGAAACAAAGAAAAAGACAGAAAGGAAAAAGAAAGGAAAAAGAAGGAAAGAAAAAGAAAGAAATAGAGAAAAAGAAAGTGAACAGTGAAATAGCGTTTATTGGAACAAAAAAAGAGAAAATAGATAAATTTTAGACGATATTAAATGAAAAACAAAGAAAGAAAGAAAGAAAGAAAGAAAGAAGGAAGAAAGAAAGAAAGAAAGAAAGAAAGAAAGAAAGAAAGAAATAGAAAATAACAACATGGAAATAAAAAAAGAAACATGTCATGAAATTTCGACGGAATTCAAGCCATTTTTTTTTCACGTTATTTCCCGCCAGATGAAGAAAATGTTATTTCCATTACAATAGCTTTTGATATATTGGTACTTTCTAACACAAGTCACTAGTTGCCCATTTCCGTTGGCGTTCTCATGTAGGAAAAAAACTCTTTGCACCCCCCACTAACCTCCATCCACAGTTTCCATTCCTTTGTTCTACCTTCTTCACGCATTCCCCTAGTAGCCGATCCTCCTACTTGTACGTCATTTCGTCTCACCTCGTCTGTACATTTTTACACTTAGCTAAGGATAGAGAAAGGAACGATATAAAAATCCGCTCTTTCTTATTGGGTCTAGAAGTGACTTTTTTTTCTCTTTTCCTTGAAGTCACTTCTTGTTATGTCCTTTTTCTCGGACTAGGAATTAAAAAACAGATTCAAACGAATAAAAACCTTTATATCTGAAAACAATCCTCCCTTGAAAGACTGACACTATGAAGAGCTTTACCAAAAAACAAAAGCCACATCACTTAAAAAAAAACTTCCAAAAGTAGCAGCAACAAAAATACCTAGCGCAGAAAAAGAAAATTAATAAAATCAAGCGTTTCGGTCGTTGTACTCTCCGGCCTTCTTCAGGTGGTTGGAATGTCGAACTGAACCCTTTATTTCGCTCACTGGTGTAGACTGTTCTAGTTCCACATGCCATGTTTAATGGATGTCAGTTATCAGTTATCTCCTGTTAATTCCCCTCTGAAAGTTCTCCACTGCCTTAACCAGGTATTGAACTCACACTGTCACTGTCCTCAAGGACATATGGCAGAGTGGATAAAGGCGTTGGTCAGATGCGGTGACAGGACCCAGAGAGTTGTGAGTGGTTAATCTCTGATCATCGAAAGTTTCAGGGGTGACCCCCCACATATAATCATATCCTCGGCATAGACGTTTCTTAAGCAGATCATTTATGTAGCTCAAAAAGAAGGTAAGTCCGAGGACTGACCCTTGGAGCGGAGCGCCTGCGTTGACCTCTAGCGCTCCGGAGGACTGGTTATTAATAACTACCTTTCTGTTAGCAAGGACTTTATAATTGAGAAGACCCTTCATGTGATTCGATAACTGGATAGCTTATGGAGTAAGCCTTTGCGCTACACCTACACAAAAGGTCTTTGAGATATCTAGTGCTTATGAAATGGTCCGACAATTATTTCAAGACATTTTTAGGTTTATATATATGTTTTTATATTTCATAATGTGTGACGTCATTTGTTTACATTTGGATACGCATCGAGCAGATATGAATGTACGTGAGAAAATCATGGAAAATTGTAGTTTAAAAACAATAAAATCGACCTTGCTAATCGAAACGCTCCTCTGTGGCGAATTCGTTAAAAGCGCGTTAGGCTATATGACGGTTCCGTATAGGATACAGGTTCGATTCCTGTCGGAGGACGAATATTTTCTATGAAAATTTTTCGGACATTCAGGCCGGTAAATGTTGTTTAATACTGTTTATTATAAACAGAGTATTTACTTAAATATTTATATCTATAAAAAGAATGTATAAACATAAAAAATGTCTTAAAATAAGTATATACAGTGTAACCCGGATATAAGAGAAACCTGGATATAAGAGAGATTTTCTCTGGTCCCAAATTAGAGCCTGTGTTAATGTATATAAAATAGACCAAACCCGTATATAAGAGAAACCCGGATATAAGAGACTTCTTCTCCGGTCCCGACAACTCTCTTACATCCGGGTTACACTGTATATTAAATATATTTTTAGCAGTACAGAACTTGAGTATTTTTAATCAGGTGTTTTCAAAGTAAAATATAACAAATTTAATAAGATCGCTTTCAGAAAAGTTAAGCCTGTTACTGTGGCAAATATTTAAGTAAATGCTCTGTTTTATAATAAACAGTATTAACAACATCTACTGGCCTGAATGTCCGAGAAATTGTGAAACTGTGACGAATTCGGTAAAAGTACGTCAGGCTATATGACGGTTCCGTATAGGATACAGGTTCGATTCCTGTCGGAGGACGTATATTTTCTATGACAATTTCTCGGACATTCAGGCCGGTAAATGTTGTTAATACTGTTTATTATAAACATGGCATTTACTTTAAATTTAAATTAAATTAATCTATAAGAAAAAAAAGAATGTATAAACATAAAAATGTCTTAATATGTATATATATATAATTAAATGGTTTAAATCCGATAATTATTTTATATATTTTCTGTTTATAAGTTTTTTATAGATACAATTTAAGTAAATGCTCCGATTTAAACAGTAAATTACATTTATCGACCTGAATATGTAGTGTGCCAAATATTAGCACAAAGTTTAAAACAAAGAAAGAGAGAGACAAGAATTACACGTAATTAAGTTAAATGTACATAAAGAGAAGATGTGGAGAGCCATGATCGCCTAGTTAACAAGTTTGTATGAATGGATGGTAGAATAAGAAAGAAGGAGGACGATAAAAATCAAAAGATACTTAGAGTAAGAATAGACAGGAAGTTGTGGAGATCCATGATCACCTCCGTTCTGAATGGACATAAAATAATAATAATAATAATAATAATAATACCTTACAGTTAAATTTAGCCCGTTTGTTTATCAGAGTCGTCCTTTTAATTTATGTCTTAAAACAGTTTAATAAATATTTATTTATTCGGTATATATTTTTACGACTTGGTAATGTAGATTGTCTCCAATTGATTGAAGTTTTATTGTCATATAAAAGCAAAGAAACTGGTCATGATATTCAATGTGTCGAACTTCCTCGGCATTGCAACGATGCCAGACGCGAGAAAGGCTGGCGTTCTATGTTGACCTCTTCTTGGGCGGAGGCCCGGCTTAATGACTTCGAAAATAAATGAAGGACATCTCATGAAAAAGATCAGGTCGACTAAAAGTCAATTGGTTAAAGGAGATTAAAAAAGGAAATGAATGGCCATCGTTCAGAGATAGGCACCTTGCAGGCCAGATTTGTAAAAGAAAGAAAGAAAGAAAGAAAGAAAGAAAGAAAGAAAGAAAGAAAGAAAGAAAGAAAGAAAGAAAAGCAAGGTTGGAAGAAGAACGAAGAGGATTAAAGAAAGAAAGAAAGAAAGAAAGAAAGAAAGAAAGAAAGAAAGAAAGAAAGAAAGAAAGAAAGAAAAGCAAGGTTGGAAGAAGAACGAAGAGGGTTAAAGAAAAGAAAGAAAGAAAGAAAAGAAGAAAGAAAGAAAGAAAGAAAGAAAGAAAGAAAAAGAAAGAAAAGAAAAGCAAGGTTGGAAGAAGAACGAAGAGGATTAAAGAAAAAAAGAAAGAAAGAAAGAAAGAAAGAAAGAAAGAAAGAAAGAAAGAAAGAAAAGCAAGGTTGGAAGAAGAACGAAGAGGATTAAAGAAAGAAAGAAAGAAAGAAAGAAAGAAAGAAAGAAAGAAAGAAAGAAAGAAAGAAAGAAGAGTGGAAACCGAGGTTAGAAGAAGAAAGAAAAAAAAGAACGAAAGAAAGAAAAGAAAGAAAGAAAGAAAGAAAGAAAGAAAGAAGAGGAAACCGAAGTTAGAAGAAGAAAAGCGGAAGAAAGAATAAAAAAGAGTGGAAATCTAGGTTAGAAAAAGAAGAAAGATTGAAGAAAAAAGAAAGAAAGAAAGATAAGAGGAAAGCAAAGTTAGAAAAAAGAAAGAAAGAAAGAAAGAAAGAAAGAAAGAAAGAAAGTATCGTCAATGAAAGCAGCAAAAAAGCAAGTTCGAAAAATCAATATATAATTATATTCTGACTATAATTTCTGCCATATTATTTTCACATTTCATCTCTGCATTTACTCACAGAATCGTACTATCATTGCAATCTGATTGTGGAAGAATAAAAATTAAATAATAAATAAACTAATAATAAAAATATAAAGAATTTTATTTTCCCATAATGCAAATGGAAATCAAAACAGATTGCCGGTCACGTGGGAATTTTATGATCAGTCTCTTCTCACCTCCCAACCATTGATTTCGGACATGTTTAGTAGCCGTCCCAACGAATGGAAGATTCGGCCACCCTCACTCAACGCAAGGCTGACTTGAGGTCGATCATTCTTTTTACAGCTTCACATCTTTGTATCCACGAGCGTCAATAAACATTAGCCATTCATTTTCTACTCAAGTCTTCGTTTTGTTTTCTTTATTACAGTCCACCGACATTCAACTTGTGTTAGCGGCACGAAATCAAATACAACCCTCTACATGAACACTGGGTGGGGTGATTTTCAAGGCTCCATTTCATCAATAACCATGTCTTATCAGTCGCAAGTGAATGAGCAAAAAGCTGCACATGGGTTCATAGAAAATACACGTAAGATTAGACAACGTATGGAAACGAGAAACATCAATTTTAGCAATTAAGGTTTTCCATAACAAGTGGCAACGCATGGCCATTCCCCCAAAGACATTTTGAAGTGGCCAACTTTTCCCTTGACAAGTGGCAACAAGAGGTCAACTCCTTTTTTAAAGAATACACAATGCCAATTCATTTTGTTCTGTTTATCGTTTATCTTTTATTGTTGCTTTCTTAACACAAAACTCCATTTATTTTTTGCATCAGTAAACGACGACAATATCGAGTTAGAGTCTACGTCTTTGATTTTATTTATTTATTACATTAAGGTTCATCACCCTGTATAAGACCCGGAGAGCCACTCAAGGTAAAGGGTTATGTTAAGGGGTAGTTTAAATGGATAGGAGGGGAATACGCTAGATTGGATCAGGTTAAGATGGTAGTAATCGAGGAAACATCATCTAGGGCAGTGGTTTTCAACCAGGGTTCCACAGAACCCTAGCGTTCTGCCAGTAAAGCCCAGGGGTTCCGCAACAAGTTACACAAGTACTATGATTGACAGTAATTTTAGATTCTCCTGTGCAGATATGTCTATTTAGGTACCTAAACTAAATCAATAACAAAACAGCATAGCATGAATAAAAAATAGGTCCCAAACTTAAAATAAATGTAATCCATTTAAACTGAAGTTTTTTAATACATGTGTAATAACTGTAGAAGCAAGATTAAAATTGCATATGGACGTCTACAATATTTTTACAGTTTGTCTTTGTATTTTTTGTAAATAAATCTGAAGATGAGTATTTTTATTTTATTTTAATAATTGAAAGCTTTTTTTTGCATAAGACAATTAATTTATTGCAGGGGTTCCTCGAGCCACTGGACTGTTTCCTTGTGGATCCGCTCCAGCAAAAAGGTTGAAAACTACTGCTCTAGGGAATCTTTTCCATAGAGCAGTGGTTCGCGAGGAGAAGCTGTTTGAGTGGAACTTCACGCCGATGGAAGGAGGGTGGTTTGCTACAATATAAGTGACATGGCGGGTCCTAGCCGTGAACGTCTGACCTGTGGAAGCAGTTCGTCCGAGCACTTTCCATGGTAGTAGCGCTAGAGCAGTGAGAGACTCGCCACACCCTGCCTGTGTGAGAAAGAGAGAGAGGTTGGAGGGTGGAAAATAATTCTTCTCCAACAAGGACACGGAGAGGCTTTTGAATGAGGGCTTGAAAGTGAGGTCTGACCAGCTCCTTTCCAAATATGCCAACAATACTCCATTCTCGGCCTGATCTGGCTCTTATGAAGGTAGATTATAGAATGAGGAGTTTACGTACTTACTGGAGCCGATCATTTTACCTAAATCTTTAGCGATGGATCGTATATAGGAATTCAACTTGAGGTCGGCTGTGAGTCCCACTATCCTTTCAAGACACGGTGCCTCTTCGAGGGTAAATCCGTCCATCGTGACTGGCAGTAGTTCTGGATATGATCGGCGGTAGATTGTAGGGGCACCACACATTATATGGCTAAAATAGTAATGGTTTTATCTAAGGAAAGATAACCTGGCAGAGCCCGTTCTTCTGCTGGTTTTAATTGCCATTCTCCTAGACCGGTTGTTCTATCAAGGTTAAAGAGCGCAGTCTGCACTATTATTTCATGGAGAAGCGACACCAAATTTTATGCATACCTCAAGTACAAACCCGGCCAATATTTACCTATGACCTCAAATTTAATCTCGACCAATTTGATTGAAATTAAATTTGAGGCCATGGGTAAATATTGGTCGGGTTTGTACTTGAGGTATGCATAAAATTTTCCAACGGGCATTAATGCGAACTAAACACCTAAAGACTTTCATTGTCACTACCACCATCCAGCATAGTCTCAGAGCCAACAAGCCCAAAACAGCAAAAAGAATCGATATGACTGGTCTCACTGCGCAACACTGACATCGCCAAATAGTTCAAGATTTCTCTTACAAACTGTTTCAACGCTCTTCAAGACGAGAACACTGAAAACTCTGTAACTTCAACATATCAAAACTTTGGAGAAGCCTGTGCACAGGCATCAGATGAAATGACCCCAGTGAAACTAAAAGCCGAACCCTTTGGGAAACTGAAGAGGTAATCAAGAAATGGATGAAAAAAGCTGCACGGAAACAAAAACGCAAACCGAACGAGAGAAAACAGATATCGCCATCGAACATCGAGCTTGAAGTTTCTCTCAAAGAAAGATATGACTTAGAACTAACAGCAGTCATACAATCCAAAATCGATATTATCGCGAATGCATCTGTAAACAAGCGAGCAGCGACTGCATAAATAACAGTCACTGAAATCAGTGGCCGAAAAATCTGTAGCAAAGCCAAGATAAAGGCTGTTGATCAAAATGTGATGATTATCAAACGGAAAAATCACTTTGAAGATCTGCTTGACAAGCCTCCCACAATTACACAGAAATCCACGCAAACAATAATCGAGCAAGGACTCGACACCAAGAAAGAAATTTTCAACATGGACGAACTGACAACTGCAAATAAAGCGTGAAAAGGCTTGTGGACTTGATAACATTCCTGCCGCGGTTTCGTTGACAGATGACTCTGACAATGAGTTACTGACATTTTACCATCAATTTATCAATCAGACCCCGTTGAGTGCTGGAAAGAAGATTGTATACTCCCCTTTCCAAAGAAAGGAGACCTTGGCCAAACAACAAACTATCGAGGAATAACACTCACCACAATATCCTCCAAAATCTACAACCTGCTTTTATTGAATCGCATCCACACTGAGCTGCACAAAACAGATCAACACTTAGTCAAATTCTAACCATCCACCATATAATTGAGAGCGTAAGAGCCCAAAACCTCAAAGATGTGCTTGTATTTGCCGATTTCTCCAAAGCCTTCGACTCCATCCATTGTGGCAAACTTGAAGAGATCATGCTAGCATATGGGTTGCCGCAAGAGACACTATCTTCTATTATGATGCTATATAAGAGCTCTCGCTCAATGGTCCGATCTCCCAGTGGAAATGTGGAGTTTTTCAACGTTGTCGTAGAAGTCTTGCAGGGTGATACGCTTGCCCCCTTTTTTCATTACGTCTGCTAATCTAAACACATGATGTGGGGTTCACCCTTGAAAAAGCAAGATTTTCACGTCTTCCAGCAAAAATAATGACAGACGTAGATTACGCAGATGACCTTGCCTTGTTGTCAGACATGATTGATAAGGCTACCAAACTTCTCGATCTCAACGAAGAAGCGGCCAGCGTGATTAGTCTCTACATTAATTACAAAACATAATTTATCAGTTACAACCAAGAAGGAGAAATTATGTTGAAAAACTCCAACAACATCAAATCCGTCCTGGAATTTGTTTACCTCAGCAGCAATATCCAGTCAACGGAGAGATCAAACGCAAGGCTTGGGGTATCCATGATGATCCTGAGTATCATCTAGAAGATCTCCCTCTCTGACAAGCTTAAGAGGGGCTTCTTTAAGGCCATGGTAGAATCTGTCTTGCCCTATGGCTCAACAACATGGACACTGATGAAACATCACTTGACGGAACATACACAAGGATGTTACGAGTTGCTTGAGAAGAAACAGCTGGAAGAAACACCCAACAAAGAAACGCCAATATGAACACCTTCCTCCTATCTCAGTTTCGCTAAGAAAGAGAGAAGGCTTCGGATAGCTTGTCACTTCTGGAGAAGTAAGTCACAACTTGTGACTTCCTATGGAACCCATTACGCGACAAACGATCAGATGTAAGACTTCATCATACCTACATCTTGTAGATGACTATGGATGCCATATGAAGGACCTCACGGCAGCTATGTCTGACAGAAATGGTCGGAAGGAACGAATCAGAAGAATCCTAGAAGAATTCTCGATGTGATCATGGCTTTCTTCAAATTGCTTTTTTGTTATCTCCACCTCGCTTTATTGCATCTTAGTGAAATTATCGCCATCGCCTTTTCTCCTCATTAAAATCTTCTCATTAACTTTCACTTCCAGTAACCTCTTGCGTCTTAGTCGCATTATCGCCATATTCTGTCTTCCTGAAACCTGTTCTTTTATTGTCCTTTCTCCTCACTAAAGTTTTCTCATTATCTTTCACTCCCAGTAAACTCTTGCATCTTTGTGGCATTATCGCCTTGCTTGGGGTGAGACGATTAAAAAAATTATTATGTAAAATAAATATATTTTAAATCCTTAAGTTCCGGATTTATTGATACCACTATATACACTATTTACTTCGAGAGTCTTTGTTTCAATGAAATTAACAAAGGGAGAAAGAAAAGCGACAAAGAACAATGCGTGGGCGTTATCTCCAACTAAAATGTCTAAAAAAATGTATAAAATTACTGTTCTTCAAGATGATATCAAAACAACTCGATATGTTATAACCAAACAATGTCAAGTAGGTTGAAATTTTATAAGACATTTATTCCATGAGAAGAAAATAAAAGCTTGACTGTAGAAAGGAATGTCTTTCATTGTTCAGAGAGTCCACGTGTTCGCATTTGATTTGTTTGTTTGTTGATTCGGTTTCCGCGGTTTATCAACTCTTTGCAGGTTATTTAAAGCCAGAAAATATTTTTAGATTATAAGAATTATTCTTGGTTGTTTTTTTTTTTTTTTTTTTTTTTTTTTTTTTTTGCGCGGGGTGGGGAGATAATAATGGTTTAGTGATGCAAGTCTTACTAATTAATCCATAGCGGGGTGGAGAATAGCTGAATTCATACCTAATCAGAACTTGATAAACAAACAAGAAATAATAATATGAGGGATCAGTTCTATATTACAATCAGTATATAAACTGATCCCTCATTTTGTAGCCACATTAGTTTTTATACATTTATATTCCATAGAATTTAAATAAATCTAAAATCATGCCGGTGTAGCTAATCAATATTTCATTGATTGATTCGTTTTCTACGGCTTATCAACCATTTTATGGTTATTTAAAGCCAGAAAATATTTTTAGATTTTAATAATAATTTTAATATTTTGTGGGGGATGGATCTTTTAGTGATACACGTCTTACTAATTAATCCACATATGGGGGAAAGAGGTAGATTCGTAACTTTGCCAAGGGTATTTGAAACAAATATAACGAACCCGAGAGGAATTGGAACTCGGCTCTCCAATTTACACTCCCGAGCCATTATCCATTACATCACTCACACGTCAAACTTTACGGCAACTGGTATTCTCAAGCGGTTACTCATCTATGCACTGATCAGGCTCCATGTTGCTTAACTTCAGTGATCGTCCGGGAACCGGTGTTTCAATGTGATGTGTACGTCAGAGACGTTCGCAGAAAACGTTTTATTTACATTTCCGGCAGAAGTAGGTAGGCTCTTATGATTTTCTAAGCGTAGCTAAAATGTGGTACAAGGCCGTAAGTATCGGGCACCCAGGGAGGATCGATCTCACACCTGAGTCGTAATTGTTCTAGCCAGACAAGCTTGCTAAACCTTACACCACGTCTAGGTGCCCCCAGCATGTGTAGGAAAAGAAAAAAAGTGGCGTGGTTTCTTGATCAGATCCGTTTCTAGTGATTTTCCAAGCGTAACTTGGATGTAGCATAAGGCCGAAAGTAGTGGGCACTCAGTGAGAATCGAACTCACTACTCAGTAGTAATTGTTCTAGGGAGACAACCATTACGCCAAATCGAGGTGCCCCAGCAGGTATGTGAGGGAAAAGAAAAAAGTGGATCGCATCCGTTTATATTGGCGCTGCTTATAGTGATTTCATCTTTTCTAGCGGATGGAGATCTGTGTCGGGAGACCTAAACAATTAAAAGCGACTGACCAAGATCATTTTTTCGGTAACTTTAAAAAAGTACAATTTTCTTGACACCTAGCCATGGACAGATATGCATAGACTATCGGCCCCGAAAGGTCATGTCCAACGTAACAAGATTTGACAATCAAATTTGAGGTACTTTTTGTCTTTTTAATCATTTCACATCCAGCAAGGTAACAGAGTCACTAAGACGTAAGGTGTGTGTGGGGGGGGTAACAGAATGTGCAAGAATATAACATTATGCAGCGAGAAAAATAAAAGAGCAGAATTTAAAAGGACTGTAGACATTGCATTTGAATTTTTGAAGATCAAACTTGACTGGAAAATATGAATCCAGAAAAGAGTTCCACAAATAAGAAGTGTGACTGAAGAAGCTGTTAGCATAGAACTTGCGGTTACATCTAGCCAGCTCAACTGACGAGATCTTGCCGCCAATCTAGAACTGTGCTTAAATTAGAGTTCATCAGTTAAAGTATTTATAGAAAAGGCAAAGGGAGGCTACATTACAGCGGTGGGAAAGTAACTGAGGTTGAGATGCCAGTTCAGGACCAGTGACATTGCAGATTCTTCTTTGGATTTAATCAAGGTTCTCTAAATATATAGCAGGGGCAATGGGCCATATGTGGCAGCAATATTCTAAGCATGCACAAATGGTAGAAGCGGTAAAAGTGAACATAGAAGTCAACACTTACAGGCGACAGTCTGTTTCATGCTAGATGCAATCGTCAGGCATGATGATTGCATCTAGCATGAAACAAACTGTCGCCTCTAAGTGCTGACTTCTATGTTCACTTATATATATATTTAAGTAAATAATCTGTTTATTATAAACAGGGCATTTACTTAAATATTTGTATCTATTAAATGAATGTATAAACATAAAAATGTTTTAAAATAATTGTCGGACTTTGTCCATTTCATAATGTGTGACGTCATTTGTTTACATTTGGATACGCCATGAGCAGATATGAATGTACGTGAGAGAATCATCGAAGATTGTAGTTTAATGATAGTAAAATCGACCTTTGTATGAAAATTTATCGGACATTCAGACCGGTAAATGTTGTTTATTATAAACAGAACATTTACTTAAATATTTGTATCTATAAAAAAAGAATGTATAAACATAAAAATGTCTTAAAATAATTGTTGGACTTTGTCCATTTCATAATATATATATATATATATATATATATATATATATATATATATATATATATATATATATAATATAATATAATATAATATAAATAAAGGTCATTTAAATATGATATTTTTTAATTCACCAGGATTAAACATGTACATATTAACACCTTTAGTCAAAGATCAGTAGCCATGACTTGTCTATTATTATTATTATTATTATTAGAGATTTTTCTTGAACTGAGGGTCACCATGCCGTGGGGAGAAGGATTGATCCAAAGAAAACATTGTTGTTGTAGTGACGCTAAATTTTAAAATTTACATTGTTTCTGTTATCATTTCCAAACTGGATCCCCACAAAGCATGTGGACTTGATGATATCCCTGCAATAGTCCTTAACAAACGAACTCCTGAACTGACTCCTGTTCTCTCTAAACTCTCCAAACTCTAAACTCTCTACTTGCTGATTCTTGCAATCTTACTTGTGAGAAATCGTCTTCTGTAGCCCTAGTCTTTAAGAACTCATCTGTATGTTCGGCCTATTAGCTTTCTACATCTTTTGGGCAAAGTACGAAGGGCTTCAACTTTGAATTGATTAAGCATCTAACATCGCAGTGTCATCTTTCAGATAAGCTTTCTTCTCGGGGTCAACTGCCGATGTGTTAATGATTATTGTCGAAAGAGTCTATCAAGTTGTAGATAAGAATGGTGGATCTTGGGCTTTGGACACATCTCGAAAGCATTTGACAAGGTTTGGCATACTGGTCTTCTTCACAAGTTAAAAGTTCATGGTATTTCAGTACGAATTTCTAAACTGATTCAGTCTTTTTTACCAAATCGCTTCACTTGAATGGCCACCCTTCTAAATTTTTTCACATAAACGCTGGGGTTCCGCATGGTGCTATTCTTGGACCTATGTTGTTTGTAATTTTCATAAGTGATCTTAATTCGTTATCTCTGCTGATGACATAACTATTTACTCCTGTCTTAATAGTAAGACGAATCGGTTCGTTAAGGTCAAATTGACAGCTGATCTAAGAAATAACCTACAAACTGTTGTTAAATGGGGCAAGCAGTGACTTGTTAATTTTAACGCCTGAAAAACGAAACTGTCCTTTTTACCTTCCATCTCGGGCTAACGTTTTCCGCTGACATGAAGTGAAAAGAATATATTGAATCAATTACTAAGTCTGTATCTAAGAAAGTTGGTTCACTATTGTCATTGGTCCTTACCTATAACTACAGAATGAACTCTTCCTAACACTATGTATACTACGCCTCTCAAGAGAGAGGGACGAATCGAATCGAGCCGATAGCAGTTCACTCCAAACCAGACTGACAGTCATACTGACACCTTCCACATCTTGTATTATTATTTCGTGTAATATACCTTCGTTATTTCTACTCTTGTGTTCGTGTTGTTCTTCCTTGGTCCTAACCTAGACAATAACAACTGTGTCGTGTTAGACCGTTTTTCCCGCCATAATCTATCTTACATATTTATAAGTCTACCATTCATCTTGCTTCGAATATTTCTGATACACCTGATCTGGTGTCCCTGTTATATATTTAGAGATTCTTGATAAAATGCAAAGAATCTGCAATGTTATTAGTCCTGACCAGGCATCTCGGCTTCAGCCCCTTTTCCACCGCCGTAACATAGCTTCCATGTGCCTTTACTGTAAATATTTTCATAGTAATTGTTCTGAGGAACTCTCCCTTGTGGTACCTAGACATTATGAATTTAAGCGCAGTACTAGATTGGTGGAAAGGTCTCATCCTTTTACAGGTGAAATGGTCAGATGTAACCGTAAATTCTATGCTAACAGTTTCTTCTATCGCACTTCTTGCTTGTGTAACTGTCTTCTGTGTCCTTGATTCCCAGTCAAGTTTGATGTTCAAAAATTTAAATGCGATGTCAATCGTTATATTCTGTCTTAATTCCTATTCTTTTATTAATCTCTCTCTCTCTCTCTCTCTCTCTCTCTCTCTCTCTCTCTCTCTCTTTAATGGTATTTTTCTGATATTCTCTTACACTCAGTAACCTCTTGAATTTTTTATCACACGGTACGAACCTCTCTATAAGATAGCATTTATACCCTTTTGAGTATTTTATGATTAAACACACACACACACACACACACGCACACACACACACACACACGCACACACACACACACACACACGCAGAAACACGCATAAGATAACATTTAAGTCAAAGCCCCTGAAAGTCTGTTTCATGAATAAACGCAAATGTCAGGCCATATACGTTGTGCTTTTGCTCAACTTTTTGTATATACTAGTGAGTGATGCATTATGGGTAGGCCTATTGTGGGTGGTAACTGTTATGTTTCGAATTATTATTTTTATTTTGAATTATTTAATGCAGATTGGTGGTTATTTTATAATGTTGTTTTTTAACGTTTTATTATTTTATCGTTGGTTGTTATTATTACTTTTAATTGTTAATTTGTTTATTATTAACTGGATTTATTTATTCATTTATTTTTATTTATTTATTTATTTTTGTTCGCTTTATGTTTTCGAGTTTTAAGTAACGTAGTAAAAATTTGTGTTCGTGTTTGTATTTTGAGATGGGATTTGATTGTTTATTGAACAGTTTGTGTTGGTCTGGGAAGGTAATTATGGCTATATTCTTCTTTGGGTAGAGTTTACAGTTTTTGGATTTATTGTTGTAGGCTGATGCTGTTTTCCTTATTTTCTATATTTTTTGGTGTGATTTATTTTTTATATTTAATCTCCCAGATATATTTTAAAAACTTTGTGTGTTCGCGTATTTACTATTTCTAAACGATGTTTTGTGTGAGTAGTTTCTTTGTTTCCAAGTAACTGTCCTTCGGTTACTCCTATGTATATTTTTCTTCGTTATCTACTGATTTTAGAGTGGCTTGGTATATTACATTGTTCTGCAAGCAATTGCGTTGTAACGGGCATTCGTTCTTTGTTCTGCAGTTACACGTGAGTTCAATTTGTTTAGTTGTTTTCCTGTTGTACTTTCTTGTTATTTGTGTCTTGATCTCGGTGCAACTGTAGCTGATATCTACTGTGCTTTTGTGGAATCTCTTGTGGAGAGTGGTTGAGGTGAGGTGTTTGCGTATGAATTTAATTAATATTTTTTATGTTAGCTTTTACATTTTTACTGTACGGTGAACTTTTTTTTCCCTGTGCTGTTTATATATATATATATATATATATATATATATATATATATATATATATATATATATATATATATAGTATCTTATAAACGCAAATCCTTTTCAAACTCTTGAAATATACATATCTGCTCAGTTTGGTATCCTAATATAAACAAAGCAACT